GTTACAGACTGTATAACTAAAATAGGAAGTAAATACTAGGGAGATATGATTTACCTTGATTGTGGGACAGATTTGTAGGAATTTGATTAGTCTTCTTTCCTAATATATTCTTTCCTAACATAGAATTTGTAACTTGTATATATACATACAAGATTGATGAATAATACAACAAATTCTTCTTCTTCCTCTGTTTACTCTTATTTTACACTTCCCTATCACCTAAGTTGGCCTTGCTGCCTTGAAAACTATGACCATGATTTYAGTGACCCAAATCATAAGCTAGGTGCTAATGACGGTGATATACCCACTAAGTGTTTGTGTTCTCCTGTAGAAACCCATGCAATGCATATAACTTTTGTTAAGCACAATTGAAGTAAAACGAGCCTTATGACTTACCCAATTGTGCCAATATGGTCTAGTCTAACCCATATTGAGTGATTTACTTGTCTAAGATTATTTTATAAATAAATTCAGTATTATTAATTTTAAAATTCTAAAATTTTATTAATTTAAATATAATTATTTTAATTAAGTTCCACTTAAATATAATTATAAGTTAACTTTTAAAATTTTATCAATTAATTTTAAAATTAAAGATTTAAAATTGTTAATTTTGTAAAAGGAAAAATATAAAATTTTATTATTTATTTTTAAAATTAAATTACTTTAAAGTTAATCTACAAGTCAATTTATATTTCATTTATTTCTCTAATATTTCATTAATGTTAAATTTTAATAAATTAATTTTAAATTTTAATTAATGAAATTATATTTAAATGGAATCTAAATGGATTTTAGATAATACAAATAATTTTAAATGTTAACCTTTTATTTATTAACTTAAAAATTATTATCTATGTTTTCTATCAGAAAAATGAGAATTTTATCTAATTCAGAAAAATAAATACAAGATTACAGCAAGCTAAAAGCAGACATTGCACCAGAAATAGTTACAATAAAGCCCAAAAAATCCCCTCCCTGTTTAGCTAGAGAATCAGCCATTTCCTTTGTAGTTCTCCTGATCATGTGAATGAGGCATTAAGTTCCCTTGCTATGCTTACTATCTCTCTTAACAGATGTCTAAGGATCCAAGGAACATTACCACATTACCGTTTGAAGTGGTCCAAGATATCACTATTTTTGAGTCCCCTTCTATTCCAAGTTCTTATGATCAGCTTGCTTGGCTATTTTTAACCCTTGTAGCAGAGCTAATAGTTCAACTTTTAAAGAATCACCTTCCCTTAAAGATCCTGAGTACATAGCCAATACTTTGCTTGATGAATCTCTGATCACACCCCCAATTCCTGCCATCCCCAGGTTTCCTATTGAGCTCCCATCAAAGTTCAGCTTAATTTTATTTGGACTTGGGGGCTTCCAACTCATCACCTTTCTTTCTTTCTTCTCAGAAGTGTGTGCCACTTCATTCCACACTCTTACTATATCAATACTTGAGAAATTTTGAAAGAGCTAGAGTGATTTTACCCAATGTGCAACTTTTATCTTTATGGTCTCCACTATTCCTCCCTGTTCAGTGAGAGGGCTCAAGATTCAAACTTGAAGGAAAAAGGAATTGGTAATGCGGCACGAACCGAAATTTCATTCTGGGAAGAATGAGTCCTGCAGCAAGAAATCATTATCCAAACACCTACATCTGATTCATTCTTGCCCATTCTTTCTAAGAATCAGCAAGAATTAAAAGAATGAGGCCAGTGGCAGCGAACCAAACATGGCCTAAAGGCCTATAAAAACCCTCCCAGAGCTGAGGGGATTCTATGGAAGATGGCTTCCTTCCACAAATGAAAGGGCAGACCACACAGGTTCAGACAAATAGCTCTAATAGTCGTTGACACCTCATTGACAGTGGGTACCAATGATTTATCAGCACTACTCCTTCAATGGTTTCTACTTTTGAAGTTTCTAATTCCAAGACTCCAACGTCCAACAACATTGTCGAAAGGTTTAAAGAAGACTAGAACATTTATCTTCGTTTCTTCATCACTTCCTCCATAACTTTTCTCCAATCTGGAAACTCCTTCGAAGTGATCACATATCTTCTCTCCTAAACTTCCATAGCCAATCTGGGCTCAACCGAAGAGAACCAAACTGAATCAACCAAGTCATTGAGGTGGTATCCTCTGACTTCTTTTCTTCCATTTTCTTTGTTGCATCTCTAACAGCTCCCCCAGGCCTCTCATTCGCCTTTCTCAGATCGCCTGTCAAAGCCAGAAAAGACTTGAGCTCTTCTGGTATCTGTTTCCACCCCCCACTGTGTTTACCTTCTAGGAAGCAAACACCATTCYCTTCTTTCCTGGGTTGAAAAACTCAAACAGTGTCACGTAGGCTCCACTATTATTCTCCAATGTCTATGCCCAATAGGTAGTATTCTCCTCCCTGTAAGAGACTTTCCAATTAATCTGTCTTTGTGAGTGGATGGCTCCCTCAAGAAAGCCTTTGAACCACAATGGAGCTTTCTCTTTCAACATCATTGTCGCCTCCAAGTGTTCAGTGAGTTTCAAGACAACTCCTCTTCTGGTTTTCACTTCCTCTAGGATGAAAGCCTTGGCCTCAACTTTGAGATCTGGCACATTTTCAAGAYAACTCCTCTTACTGGTACTGATGAACAGGAAATTGGTAATCTCAAGAAGTTTTTGGATACTATATTTGGGATTAAAGATATCAGAGATCTAAGATATTTCTTAGGGATTGAGGTGGCAAGATCTCATCATGGTTATCTATATCTATCAGCATAAATGTGTTAGATCTTCTCAAAGATATAGGAAAATTAGAAGTGGAGCCAGTTGATACTCCTATTGACCCTAATCATAAGACTAGTGCACCAAGGGAGAGTTACATAATGAAAAGGGGGATGTACCAGAGGCTGGTTGGTAGGCTCTTATATTTGTGTATAACTTAGCCCGACATTACATGTTCAGCGAGTATGTTGATCCAGTATATGCAAGCTCCTTGTACTACTCATCTTGCAGTTGTATATGAGATTCTTGCTTATTTGAAGGGTTATCCAAGGAAGGAGATTCTATTCTCTATGCATGATCAGTTGAGGATAGAGGTGTTTAAAGATGCAGACCATGTAGGCTCTCTAGGATCTATTTCAGGCTTTTATGCCTTGGAGAGAATTTAATTTCTAGGTAAAGCAAGAAGCAGTCTGTTGTCCATGGCACAAGGATTAGAGGCTTGGCTACATTCTCTACTTGGGGAGTTAGAGGTTCAAGGGAGAATCTCCTAGTACTTTATTGTAACTTTAGGCTTCCGTGCATTTGAGAGAGTTTCGTTTCCTGGAAGAGCAAGAGGCAACCTGTTGTGGCTTGCTCTAGTGCAAAAGAAAAGAATAGGTCCATGGCACATGTATTATCAAAGGCCCTTTGGCTATGTTCTCTAGTCTCTACTTGGAAGAGTTGGGGATTCATAGGAGAGTCCTCTAGTACGTTATTGTAATAACAATGCAGCCATTAATAGCGCCCACAATCTAGTTCAGCATGACCACACTAAAAATATTGAGGTGAATCATTTTATTAGAGAGAGGGTATTGTCTGGGGAAGTGTGTCTTCCTTGTGTCATGTGAAGATGGATTAGCAACTTGCGGATGTCTTCACTAAGGGAGTTTCTCAGCTGAAATAATTTCTACTCTAATTTTATCCCCAATATAAAAGAGAGTGGGGACTCTCAAGAACCCCATGATTTGTGTGTCATTCCTCTTCCTCTTCTCCTCTCTTCTTCCTTTCTTCTTTCTTCTATCGTTGCAGCTTCTTCTTCTTCTTTTTTAATTTTTTCTTGCATTATTTCTGAACTATATTGGTGCTGAATCAACCAAGTAAATCAAAGACTTGCATACCCAAAAAAAAAGAGAAAAGAACCAAGCACACAAGTCACAAAATTAAGCAGATATTTTTATAACAGAAACATTCAAACATATTCAATATGTTAGACTCAAGTGAACATGGGTTAATCAACGCCTCAATCCAGGCTTATTCAAACTTTAGAAAACATTTCCACTTTCAACCCCAAATCGAAATGAGGTTTTGAAATGCCACCCAAACACAAACTATAGAATGGTTTGAGTCTATTAGATTGTTCAAGTCCACACTACATGCATACAACATATTAAAATTCCCGATTCAAGATAATCAACTCAATCAATATGTCAAGAACAAACACTCACCTATAATTGCACCACAATGCATATTAGCATAGGGCTCCTCACCAGTTAGAATCTCCCACATAGCAATACCAAATGAGAAAACATCAACCTGTAAAAATATCCAACTTGTTATTAATTTCATTCAAAATACTGCCACAGCAGATAATGGTATACGCCACCAACCTTCTCAGAAACCCGACTGCTGCTACCATTCAATAGTTCTGGTGCCATCCATGGAAGGGTCCCTCGAACACCCCCTGAGACCAAAGTATTGCGCTTAATTCTCGACAATCCAAAATCCCCAACCTGAAAAGCTCAGTTCCAGACCAAAATTCAATTGAAAGCAATGGAGAAAAAGTATGTAATGAACTCAGAAAGGCAAAGAAATCTCAAATTTAGGATCCTCAATTGCTCATGGTGCAAGTTACAAGTCGTTACTCTTCAGATATCAATTGTAAATAGGAAGCTAAAATCCTATCATTTTCTAGATAAATGCAAGTAATAATTGGCCAAGCCAACTTCACTAGAAAATCATACACTACATACAGTAATTTTATTGTTTACAAACACAAAGTTCACAAATCACAAATAGAAAAAGAAACTACATGATCTCTTATTTCTTATGCATTAGTTAACACATTACTCTTGATCCTTACAAGAGCCAGAAAGAGGTTCCATAAGTTCTATTTCTGCTACTATTTTACCTTGCATACAGGTCGTTGGGAATCCCTCATATTGACAAGCAAATTTTCACATTTCAGATCAAAATGAACAATATTTTTTGAGTGCAAGTATTCCATGCCAAAAGCTGCATCCATTGCAATTATAAGCCTTTTACGACGATCAAGTGCCCTGCAGAGCACATTCTAAGGCCACATAAATATATAGTTAATAGAGGGAACAGAAAGTTAAGGAAAGAAAATGGAGATGAACATACTTGTCCTTCTTTAGCAGAACATGCCTAAGTGATCCATTAACCATGAATTCAGTTACGGTTGCCAATGTTCCCTCAGCCCCATCAGGCACCACCCCATAAAATGCTACCACATTCGGATGATGAAGATTTGATAGGATCTTTGCCTCTCTCCAAAAGTCCTTGGTCTGAAAGAGCAAAAGAATAATCATATCCACATCGCATCTAATGTTGGAATGAAATATACATGTGAATAGAACTAGTAGTACAGTTTCTATCTGATATAGGGATTAAGCAAGTCAGATATGCATTTGGATTTAGGTTAGGTTATATTTTCTTTYGATATATTCTGTCTTATGTGTTAGGATCGTCTTCTGTAAGTAGAAGTCTGGGGTAAGGTATCGAACATCCCCTCCCCCTGCCTAAAAAAAATGGTAAAGAAAATAAAAGTTGTATCTTTTAAAGAATCTGCCCAGGACCCTGAAGAAATTCCAGGTTTCAAAAAAGAAAAAGAAACTCTGTATCTGCATTATTTCATATACACAAATGGCACAACAAATCCAAGAAATTGATGCTTTAGAAAGAAATTTTGGTAATAGTAGCACTACTTATGAATGGTACAAACCAACTGCTCTTGCTCCGATAACCTCCCTGCGAAACAGCTTTTCTTAATTCTCTTAATAGCAACATCCGTCCCCCGCCATTTCCCATGATAAACAGTTCCAAATGTGCCAGATCCTAACTCACGCAGTTCTTCAAGATCAGCATTTTTAATGATCTGTGTGTCAAAATTTGAAATATTCAGTTGCATGTAAGGAACAAAACTTTCCAAAGTATTATCAAAAACAATACATGTATTTTTTCATGAATTAGGAAGTGAAATAAGAGAATCGACAAAAAGAAAGTATCTCTATCTCACTAACAACCTCAGAATGTCTTTTTTTGAGTGGAAGAAAGTACAAAATAGAAAAGAACCACAGTTTTCAAGTCTAGGAACCACAGTTCTCAAGTCTAGTTGGTTAATCTGGTCCACTCAGTAAAATAGGAAACATTTTACAGTTCCAAAACAATTTAAATAAAAGAAATTTAATAAATTCAAAACCATACAAATGTCTACCAACAACTAGGTGATATATGTAATGTGGTCCATGCCGGTCCGGCACAACCCACTTTTGGGGACCACCCACACTGTAGCGAGCTGTGACTTCTCAGCATGAACCCCCCAAGAGGGGTGCCCGGCATGGCCTATCAGCCCAAGCCCTATTGGGCCCATATCGCGTCAGTCCAGCATGATTCTTTTAAGAAAAAATGAAAGAAATAATGAAAAATTAAAATCAATTAACAAGATAGACAACGAATTGAAAGAAAAAATGTATCTTAAAATTTATTCCATATAAATTTTGATGTATAAAATTGTTTATATAAAAATGAAGTCGAAAGTAAATACAAGGAAATTGGAATAAAATTGAAAATAAAAATTGTATCATATTATAATATATATATATATATATATATATTCATGTTGTGTTGTGCCAGCCCAGCCCTACATAGCCCAAGGGTTCAAGCCAGGGTGGCCTGGCCCACTTTATAACTCTAGGTAAATGTCGTATATACATGTGCGACATGCACAAGAAGAAAAATGCAAGAGACAGGTTGTGGCACAAAGTAATTGCAAGCATTTCATGGTCTAGAAACTAATGGTTGGGATGCTAAATTGGCTCCTAACTTAACTTCAACCTCTCCTTGGGAAAGGAGATAGAATCCACTTCTGGGATGACCTTTGAATAGGGGAGTCACCACTGAAAGATCAATTTCCTGACCTTTATGCCACTTCTGATTTCTAGAATGAAACCATTTTTAATTTGGGTGTGGCTTCCCTTTTAGGTATCAATTGAAACCTTGGTTTCAAAAGAGGCCTTAGGGATAGAGAGTGCAATTTGTTGGTTGATCTTCTTGGAACCTTGCAGACAGTTTTCTTAGACCCAAGTTCAGTTCTAGTCCTTAGAGAATGTTGAATGGCCTTCTTGATCAGAATTTTATGGCTGTTTGTGGCTGTAATGGCTTCTTGAAGGAATAAGATAGAAAATAGGAAGAGAAAGAAGAGAGAAGATACCTGGATTCACTCACAGGGTGCCTAGAATCACTCTAGGGAATGGRAATCACTCACCATAGTTAGCATAAGCTGAAGAAAACTCATAAACTTCATTGCTATTTGTGTAAAACGTCCATACATATTTATAGACTCTAAACTCATAATAACCCTAGGAGTCAAACTGTTAGACTCATAATAGTCCTAGGAGTCAAACTGTTAAACTCGATAATTCTAGTAGGACTCAAACTAAGCTATCATATCCTATTTCAATTAAAAAAAGACTCAATAACTCTAATCCTACTTATGCAATGAGTCTGAAATTTTAAACATAAACAAAAAATTAAACCCTATCATTGGACCTCACAGGAAACTGAAAATGACAAAAATACCCCTATTGTCCAAAGATACAGAAATACATAAAATTTCATAAAATTCCCATTTTACCTCTTCAGCTCCTGCATCATTCTCCCCCAGTTCAAAAAAATTTGTTCTGAAGTTTTGAAGAACTTGAGGATGAAAAGTTGATATGCCCCAATTACAAAAGGAATAGGACTTCCCATAGCTACATGCTTGGACTGTAGAGTAGAGGCCACACACAAAACTAGAAAAGGATCTTGAAAGAAATGTATTTCTGAAACACTGCCTTCCATAACCATCATTGTTAAATCACCAATAACATTAGTTTCTTGAACACTTGATTCATCAACCAGCAATTGTGATGAATCTTCCCCTCGCTTATCCAAACTCTCAACTGAAACTTTTGGAACTTTTCCTTCAACCTCTAGCATAGGAATCACCATCTCTATGTGTTCTTCTATCTTTGGTTCTTCAACAAACTCTAGGACTCCTTCCATTGTTGATGTTGGTGGAACTTGTGCTATGCTAGGTTGTAATTCTTGAATTAGTTCTAGTTGAATTTGAAAGGTAAAGTCACTTACTTCCTTACTAGGATCTACTACAACTAGCACATCTGTATCTTGCACTTGAATTTCTTAACTTGCTCCACTTCTATATCTTCTTGATCATTAACCTCAAGCTGATCATGGGTATTGGAAACTCCAGCAATTTCTATTTTTTCTTGGTTTGTGCCCTCTTGGTTTTTAATATCTACAACTTCTATAGCTTGAAATTATTCTTATTTAGCTTCATCCTCAACTCCAGTTATAGGATAGGCATCAACATGCAAGGAATCATCTACTTTCTTTTCAACTTTGTACCTTCTTCCCATTAACTTCAAATTCTTTGTTGTAACATATTGCTTCTTCTTTTGCTTAAAATTAGTCAACTCCATATATAGATCATCATAGAAATCTAGTGGCCACCTCTTCCTCTCTACCCATGTACTAATTGGATTATCACCTCTATTTTCTAGACATTGCTCAATGTAGAGAAGATGGGCCGAATGGCACATAGGCTGTTTAACCTTTTTTATTTTTTATGTTCTTTGCTATAATGGGCCTTAATCTGGGCTTTATTCTTTCTTGTGTTATGTTTTTTAATTTTCTGCCCAACTAGGGGTCTCTCTGTAAATTATTAAAGTTTAACTTAATGAAATAGAATTAGGGGTGTAAGAGAGAAGGTTATGTTCGAAAAACTCTCTCTGAACCCTAGTTGCCGCCACCTTCTTCTTCTTCTCCTCTCTTCTTGAAACCTGATTTCTGATACTTCCTTTTGATTTTTTGCAACTTTTTGAACAGTCCTTTCTTTTCAAAAGGCTGTTTTTCTTCTTGGTATTAGAGCAGGCTCGACTTTTCTCTTTTTTYACCTCTTTTTCCCATACACAGTGTGTATGGAGAACTGAATCGTGTAAATAGTTAAAGAAACCTATTTCAGCCCAGTTGTTAGTGGTTTCCGGAGAGAAGGGGACTGGTTTTGTCATCCTCCTGACAGATTCAAGTGTATTGCCCGAAACCCTAATTTTTTGGAGAAATCTGGTTGCAGGCCCCATAGGGAGTTTAACCTGGGTGCTCAATGACTGAAAGTCTTCTCATCCTTCATCTTGAAGATCGAATCAAGTGGGTTGGTGTTCTGTGAAGTCTACAAGGAGCAGATGAGATTTCTCTGTTTCTCCCGGCTTCTGGGTGTGACGCAGGTAGCTGGTACAGCTGCATAGAGGTTGGCTCACAACACAGTTTTTGTTCTGTCTTCATTTGTTGTTATTCAAAGTTGTTAGAAGTTATTTTTGAAGTATTTAAGAAGATGAACCCTTCAGAAGTTGAAAACAAGCATGTTGCTGAATCCGGACAAGTTCCGAGAGCCTTTGTAGACTCTCTACTAGCTGTAACCACAGTCAAGCTGGATGGAACTAACTATCTGGCTTGGTCACAATCAGTAAAAATTCATATCTACAGTAGAGGCAAATGGGGTTTTATCTCCGGGAGCAAGAAGGCTCCTTTGAAAGATGATCCATCATATGAAAAATGGATGCAAGAAAATTATATTGTTACTGGATAGCTTGTGAACTCAATGCAATTGCAGATTAGTTAGCACTATTTGTGGATGAATTCAGCAAAGAAAATTTTGGATAGTTTTGCTGAAATCTATTCCCATAAATTAAATGTGGCCAGGGTTTACAAGCTGAGAAGTGATGTGAAGAATTTGAGACAAGGGGAAAAACCGTTAGCTGTTTATTTCTCAATACTGAAGTCTTTATGGCAAGAAATTGATTTGATAGAAGCTGTAGCCTAGGACACCACCAATGATGCTGAGACCTACAAGAAACTTGTTGAGAGAAACAGGGTATTTGAGTTTTTGACAGGGCTGAATCCAGAGTATGACATCACAAAACAAAATATTTTATCCAAGGATAGTGTTTCATTGTCTCAAGCCTATGCCTTGGTAAGCAGTGAAGAAAGCAAGAGACATGTCTAGGTTCAAGGGGCTGGTCTAAATGATCACTTTGCTAATATGGGAGTGAAACCCAAGGGAGTTGTAGGGACTCCAAGCAGCTTAGGGAAGAAAGAAATTATTTGTGAGTACTGCAAGAAGCCAAAACACACTAAGATAATTGTTGGAAATTGCACCCTGAGCTTCTTCCTCTTCGGTTTCAAAAGAAGTCTGATAATATGAAGGCAGGGAGTGACAATATTGTTGTTGGTCCAAATAGTGATAGATACTAAACTGAAGAGATGACTGCTAGTGAGCAGTTAGAAGTTTGGAAGGATGATCAGTCACCTAGAGGGTGTGGCCTCTTCTTCCAACCCTCCAAGAAATTCAACCTCTTCTGCATTTTCTCATTTAGGTATACAGGCTTCTGCCGATCATGCAACTATTTCAGGTAATTGTAGGATCCCTTGGATTATTGATTCTGGTGCTTCTGATCATATGACCAACCTTTCCACTTTGTTTGTTTCTTATGATTTACTTCCTGGCCATGACAAAATCACCCTAGCYGATGGCTCCCTTGCCCCTATCTCCAGCAAGGGAACCATCAAGGCTACAGATTCCCTTGCCCCTAAGTCATTGACCTAAGTCATGGACTATGTAACCTTCTTTCCTTCCTATTGTGTTTTTCAGGATCTGGAGTCTCAGAAAGTGATTGAGAGTGGCCATGAGGCGAATGGAATATATTTGCTAGACACTCCTAAACAGAGCCATGGACAATCTGAAAAAGCTGCTTTTGGGTCTACATCTACAGAGTCCATCAGTCGGGTCATGTAATGTCATTTTCATTTGGGTCATCTTTC